AGTGTCAGCAATTATTATTATTAACTAAAAGCTCGGGTGGTGGACGTCAATGTCCGAGCACAGTCACCCACGTGTGGTGAAATGCTCGCTGTCCTCACACAGCGCAGAGGGAACCCAACACGTGACTCTTCATCGCTTTCTTCTCAACGTGCCAGCGAATTCGCTTCATCCCCCGCTTCGTCACGGGGGGAACGAGAAGTCGCAACAATTGTGTATCGGCTGCCACAAGGCCTGGCACCTGAGAGAAAAGGAAACCCTTAGGCTGGCTGGAATGGCAGATATTTTTGTGATGTGAAGAAATCACTACCAGACAGCCCTATGCTGGCCTTGGCTTCATCAAGCTGGGCTCCTCGTGAACCGAGGACTCCCTCCACCGCCACCTGTCAGAAAGATGATATCACCGGCCTCGTTTTACCGCAGACATGGAAGAATTTTAGTTGTGCTTCGGTCCGATTGTGGTGGCGCGGTGTCAGTCAGCTCCGCTGCTTCACTGCTCCTTATGTGTTGGGTTGGATTCCAGAGCGGCGGGGGGGCGTTGGTTCTGTGTGGAGTTTGGGGAAAAGTCTGTGAGATCGCCCACGGATCCTGCCTGAGGATTTCGAATATTTAATTGTGGTCCCCTTGTTGTGCCCTCTGCTCAAGACTAAGGAGATTCAGCGCTTTAAAGAGTTAGGGGCTGCGGTTGCCTTCGAGCGCGGCCAATGCACAGCAGATCAAAGCTCTGTTGCGGCCACTTAGGCCAATTCTGACTAACAGCCTCCTGCAGCCTGTCCGGAGTACTGAGAGTGTTTAGCTCTGACCCACATTGACCCAGAGCAGCCATCTTTAAACTGGCATCTTGCACTTTTTACAGGCAGGCAGTGTTCTCCCGTGGGCTCAAGACATGCTAAAAATCTGCCCCTATTCTAACCCATTTTGTTTTGTTTTTGTTTTTTTACGTCTCAGGTGAAATGAGTTACAGCTATTATGTTATGGAAACATTTCCGTTTTTAATGCTTGGAATATTTTTAAACTCCTAATTGACGTGTATGAGGTGTAAAAAATAACATTTAAAATTGAATTTACTCGTTCATCTTTAGCACTGGGGGCTATTGAAGAGTTGGTGAGATTCTCACCCTGTCCTGTGTGTATTGTTTTTCAAATCTGATAAGGACTTTCAGTCAAAACACTTGTTTTTATGTGAAGTTAACTGAATTAAAGATAAAGGAGTAACAGTGCAAGATAATTCATTTAGTTAACACCTATGATGTTCATTTGGTTTTGCATTTCAAAGCTTTGATATCTGTTTCACTGTTGATAAGGTTAATGGAAATATAGGGTCTGAGCTCAAAAATCTGTGGCAAAAATAATTTGATCCCATAGACATACACTTATTTTAGTTTAATAACAGACTGAATTTTCTCAACCATGGACAGTATCACAGAAGATGATGTGTGGTATTCAAGGCTAGAATATTACCAAGTTATCTTATTAAAACAAGCTGTAAATTACACATTTCTGCTAATGGAAGTCTGAGCTTCATCGATAAGTTTTTTTTTTCACTTGTCTGCTACTGATAAAAACTAATTATGCTGGGAAGAAATTGTCATTTAAAAATGTATTTATTCAAAATAGAAGTAATATGGTTCAAAACAGAAAACTTGATGAACTGATATGCTGACACGGACTTGGGTAAGGCTTGATCATTGATTATTTTGAGTGGGGAGCTGCTTTACTGGCTGCAAAGGAATGAGTAAAAGTTAATTCCATACTGAAAAGCAAGGAAAAAAAGACAAGACATTTCATTTTGGTTGTTCAGATATTTTTCAGGTAGCAAAAAATTTCGTTGTTCCTCTCCACTTCTTCTTGATAATCTTTTGACAGTCTCTGAAAAACAACGAAATGTTTCCTCAGATACTCTTTGCAGAAGGGTCCTGTGTGCTCCTGGGTCAGCTCCTAAGCCATGTTTGTTCCTCAGGATCAGGGTCACCCTTTTCCTTTTTTTTAAGGGCACTTTAGTCACCTTGGGCCCTTTTGTGTGTTTAGGAGGCGAAAGCAGATCAGCATCGACCACGTCTCGACTCCATGGTCTTACTGATAATGAAACTGGACCAGCTGGACCGGGATATCGCCAACGCCCTCAGTACCACGACTTCGACCTCCCACACCCCAGCGCTCAAGAGGAGAAGTATTCTTGTGAGTACTGCTGTGGAATGACCGGCCTTTCTAAAACACGACGATGAATTAGTGATCCCAAGCACTTGACATGTGGGAGCGGGCCCATTCACCCTCTATTGAAGTGCAGCTCCCACTCGGGTGGCACAGAGCTCCCCACTGCACAGCAGACCAGGGGCAGGAGAGAGAAACTTTTCCAAGCATTGTCATGGATCCAATCAATTTCATTTCCCTAATTCCTACCTGTCTGTGACATTGAACATCAGATTTAAACGCTATCAATCATCAAAGAATCATCAGCCTTTCATTTGGGATAATTCTGTTGCTTATTTGCAGGACATGGGCTCAGAAGCAGTAAATGGGGTGGACATTTCATCCTCAGCTCAGCAACCGAAGAGCGTGCAGCACACTGCTTTCTCCTTCCTGATGACCTCAGGACCTGTGGGCCTTTTAGGCGCCAAACCGAAGACCAGGGTAGGTCACTTTCAGATCCAGGCTAGTTTATTTCCAAAATCATGCAATCGATGTGACATTTTTTCATTAAAAAAATGCAGGATGAACAATTATTAAACCTCTGGAAAGAAAGCTAATTCCATTAAATATTACCACAGTGCTTCGAAACATAGCGATGCATGATCCCCCATCAAAATAAAAATGTTTCAACTGGTCCAACGTTGACAGATTTGTTGGCAGTTCTCTGTGTATCAGAAGCCCCCTTTATTCACTTATAGGAAAGCCTTCATCAAGTATTGGCTGGCTGAGAGGTTAAAGGTTTGAGTTAATGCAGACTAAGAAGTCCATTCCATCAGTGAACTGGTACTTGTGTGCTGTGAAAAACTCCAATCTTGGAACACCGCAAGCCCAAGCATTAAGTACAGAAGAACACGTGTTGCGGTTGTATATTTATTTAATACGCCTATGGTTTTGTCACTGCTAAGTTTTACTGACTGAACATGTCATCCAAAAAAATAGTCTGCAAAACTGTGGTAACAGTTAAAGGCATTCTACAGCCATGGGGGGGTGAGGGAACTATTCCAAAAAAAAAAAAACCTTATGCAATTCCCTTTTAAGGTACAGTTGTAAAGAGTTGCTTTTTCCCTTTGTTTGGTCAGCTTTGCCTCACTCTGTCAGTAAAGGTTGAATGGTGCACTAATCTGTGTGAGTGCTATACTAGGGTGTCTTTTCCCTCTGTTGCAAAGGGCCAACTGAGGCACAACCTTGACGCTCTGTTAGGCTTCGATTGTCATGTCCACTACTACACTTCACTAACAAGGAAAAGTTAAGGCATTCGTATGAAACCACCTGCATGATTTAGTTTCTTAGGCCCTGGTGTCCTTGTTTTTTCTTTCAACACAGCCTTTAAAATATTTGCTTTCTGCTCTGCCTTTGAAAATGGGTCAGACCACACAGAGGTGACAGACTGGAATGTCAGCACAGTGACTTAAAACTGTTTAACTAGGGAGAAGTTAAAGCCATAATTAGCCTTTTCCACCAGCCTGAACAATACGAGTCAGTCCAAGGGGGGGCGAAGATGGAGCACGAAGGGTTAACTGCTTGCCCTTGCTAAATCTTTAGGTTAATGACCACTTCCCAACACCCATTACAGCCATCATAGTTGACAACTGGCTCAGGAGTCACATGAAAACATGACATGTTGTAACAGTCGACCCACTCTGAGGACAAGGTCTACCTTCACAGCAGGTACAACAGTGTTGCTTCTGAAAATACATATTATAAAGGACAGCTCCATGCTGGCTCACTGGAGTTCCATAAATACAGCTGTGTGTAAAGCTGTGTGATCGGAACTGCTACTCCGTTACTTGTTACTATGTTAATTTCAATAATGCTTATGTGCTGCCATATAACTGCAGCTCTGCAGCTCGGAATGCCGAACGTACAGTATTTATACTTCCAGACAGGACAATCAGTTGACTATGCACTGAAATGTGTGTTAGAGGTATAGACTAGTTCCTGCAGACAGAGATCAGAAATACCCTTTACATCCTACTGCTCTTATAGGAAATAACCGCTGTCCCTGTAATGCAGTAACATGTGGTATAAGGTATTAGACACTAAATTCTGTTGCACCAGCTTTTAGTTTAATTTGGTTAAACAGACTATCCTTCTTATTTTTTTTATTTCAGTCCCTTTGGCAAAACAGACAGCACTCTTCTATACAGAGTGAATTAAACATTTGATTTGAGAATATATGTAATATTTTAAGTTCAATAGCAGTTTTCTGACTGAACAAATGCACTAAAGTAATAAAGTGCACTTCTGTTTCCTGGGGGCACACTGCTGGAATAGAGACTGTGTCCCCGATCGCAGGCTGTACAGCTCTAGAACACTCAGGGTTCGGATGGAATCCCACAGATGATTGATGGGAGCCAAGGACAGGGCTGACACTTAAGAAAAAAGGAGAAAAAGAAGGAAAGTGTATTTAAGAACTGAAGAAATGTACACAAAGACTCGTATACAAATCAAATGGATTTTGAGGCCAGGGAGCAAAAATACATTTCCACTAAAAGCTTAGAAATGCTGGAATTCTACCAATGGGTGTGAACATTTTCTTATGCTACATTTTAAAGTTGTAAAGATTATATAATGAATCTATATTTTCTTTTATTTTGTTTGGTCATAGGAGCAGTGCACTTCTCATTATATTGTTTTTCCTCATTTCCAGAAACTAAAGGGCTGTCAAAACAGGATCCAGTTTAAGATTTTATTGACATTTTTACTTATACAAATATGTTTACAAATAGATTGAGAAATTAAGGCATGGTTTGTTTGACAAAGTTTGTTTTAAAAGAGACAACAGTTTCTCTTTTATAATGCAGATCCTTGAGTTTTATGTGGCATTAATGAACAAATCTACTCAAAACTTTATGTTTTTTCTTGTCTCTAACATTTCTCTAAATTAGATAGAGACTCAGATTTAATTCATAAAATTAACGATGACTCCACCTCAAACTTCACCTGTTTGGGGGTGAACTGGAACTCTTTTTTTAATTGAACTGAAGTTCAAAGCTGTAATAACAAGCAAGCAGTTAACCCTCTGGCACACCCTCATGTGAGGAAAGGAAATTGCATTGTTGTTTATTCAGTGCTATTTTGAATAAGCGCGATGTAATGACCTGAAACATTTTCTTCAGACGTGCTGATTAGAATGCCTTTAAATCAAGGACAGAGGAGAGCAGTAGCAGAAATGAGACAAGTGGCAGGAGCTTCATGCTTGAATTCAGGACACCTCATCTCCAGGGGTCGTTCGTTTTTCTGACTGCTGTGTCAGAAAAGCCAAACCTCCCTTGTGGAATCCTGGGACTGACTGAGACTTGACCAAAGAAGTCACCACACTGAAAGGATCACAGCAGGGTTAAAGCCAGCAGACACGAGACATTGAGTGTGTGTTGAACACAGTCTGAGCTAATTAAGGCACTTCTTTTTATTAGCTTGACTGTTTTTTTCGACTGCATATTTATCGCTTACCTTGGATGCACGGGAACTAATTCTGCGTATATTTCTCTTACGTGTGTTTTTTTTATTTATTTTACCACTTGAGAATGAATTGTCATTTGCCATTGTCATGTCCCAGAGACTTATTTATTCACTTATTTGAGTGAAGTACTATCTTACGCAAAGGGTTCAACATTTTCCAACATGGGATTCACACCTGTGACCCTCCAGCCCAGAGTCCTGACCCTTATTCCACACAGCTGCCCAATGCATTCCGATCTCTGTATGGAAAGCTGCACTATAATAGTATAAAATAGGGTTAAACTAACCCTCTCTCATGGAGTTTTCAGAGTCCTTTGATTCTTTATCTGAGACGTGGTTAGAGACATCATGTTACAAGATTCATTTAATAATACGTAACCACAGTGCACTAATGTGAGGAGAAGGGGTTTAGACCCCAACAGTTAGGCATGTCTGAGGATTGAAGGACCAGAGGTGTCCAGAATAGTGAAATAACACTGTAATTACTCTCAATATAAATGCTGTGTATCGATGAAAGTTTAAGATGGAAAGATTTACATATCTATAAAATGAAGAATGTTTATTCTAAGTACTATATAAGCTCCGAATATTTCCAATGTTAATTAAAAAAGAACAAGACAGGGGCATCCGATGTTCTGTTACTATACAGTTTGTAATACAGGAATTTCCAGAAGCAGGCTGCACAAAACAATCTGTGCAGTATACTATACACTGGTTAAAAAATACTGTAGATGTCAATGTTGGTTGTTGGTAGTTAATTAATTGCCCCTTCAGTTTATAAAATTACTTGAAAAGCTAGTTTCTCCATGTAAACTTACAAGGTTAGATAACTGAATTCCTAAGTTCATAATTTATTTATGTGCTCAGGAGAGAAAAGAAATTTCAACTGACTCTAACATTATTCCCATATATCAATATCAATAAAATAGTGTTGAAAAAAGTAAGGTTTTGCATCACTCTGAGAAATTTAATGTTTTGGTCAATGATTTTTCTTCCTTCTCTGACACTATCCTGTCCTGTTCAAGGCACATGTCTTCTGTTCTATGGATTTCTTCCAAACTGTTGTATGAGAGACTTCAAAATTTCATGAGCTCATCTGTCTGGCATGTGTACAGAGTTCGGCTCAAACATGTCACAGTGTTATGAGTGTGCAGTGATCTGTGGATGCTATGAAAATTTTAAATCTGTATCCATGTTCCTATTTTGAGATTTTTACATGCACAAAACAATATGTATGGCATACTATAGTGTACTAGTTAAAAAACACTGCAGAAATTTGGTTGTTGGTAGTTAATTAATTGCCCTTTCAGTTTATAAAATTACTTGATTATAAAATGTATTCATTTTTGTCATGGGTTGCCCGTTGCACAGGCTAATTTTAACAGTTTCAGAATATCAGATCCTTAGTTTCCGTGTTTAATCCTTATCGTGCGGGGCTGGAAAAGCCCCTCAGTCTCTCAATTCCAGCTCTTTCTTGGATAAGTTTGTTTGTCCCGTGTGGCTTCACAGTGTTCCCACACAGTGTGTGATCTTTAAAATTCTTCCATAAATATTCTCACTCTCTGTGAAAAAGCCTTGGGCCATCTGAACCATAATCATCACTTTCTTCTTATTTCTCCAGTAAATTATGTGCGCTGATCCTGGAACATTGGAGTTGTTGTGTAGGGCCGAAAGCATAAAAAGAAAAACTTGTAAAGGGGAATTTTTTTAAATCCACTGTAGCTCTTTGTACTGTATTTGTGTCCAGGAATTCACATCAGTGGTTTGTTTGCATGCCTCTCTTCTTATAAACTGACCTGAGCAGCTGGAATGCAGGATTTCAAAGATTTAACATTTATTCTGTCCTGTCTAATCCCAAACATATGCCGCTCTATATGGAGTTAAAACTGTGAAGATGCAATTCACATATATTTACAGGAAGCTCCATGTAGTGCAGAAATTGAAAGCAGGGGGCACTTTAGGATGTGTTTGTTAGAATG